CGCTTGGCCTGTAACAGGCATAAATACAATAACTGCTAATGGAAAAATGTGATATTTATTAAAAACCTAAGAAGTTTTGAAACGACCATTCTACAACACTTATGCGTCATCCACCTCGTTCCCAGGCTCTCTCTCCTTTACCTCACTTTAAGGGAGGCAAAAGAGAGAGAGAGAGCCTGGGAGCGAGGTTGATGCATCATACAGAGTTGTCTGATCCAGTCACGAAAAGAGTTATGAGTCACCCTAGTGACCACGTGACTTCAACCAATTGTAGAACAAGAGCAATTGTCGGTGAGTGACGCAATTTTGTAAACAGTAAGGGTAAGTTTTTTTTTTTCTCGATCAACGCATTGTGACCAGTTCTTCGGAAGACGTAGGATGAATTGCCACGGTATCATCAAAATCTTTCTTTGTCGCCCCCATTTTGACCGCCACGGAAAAACCCTGCAGCATCTCGTCACAGCCTATTCCAAGAATATGCAGACCAATAATCTAAGGAGAAAAAGACGAGAAACAGTTTAAGGAGCCACGTCACGGTTTTCGCATCTTGAAAAGTTCTGAAGTCTAAATTTTTCAAATTCGTTGTTTGTAATCCGTGTTAATCTTCTTATTACTTAACCATCCTTGTTCTTTGATGGTCTATTATCATCTTTTTGATGTTTTTCTATCTGAGTAAACTACTATTTTCAAGTTTTCTTCAATTTAAAGCTTATTTTGCACATGGCCAAAATACTAGGACTGAGCTTCTTTTAGCTCAACGACAGAGTCGCGGCCACTATCTCCAAAGTCTGGAAACTGATACATGGTTAGATATACAAGATACATGTACATAAATAAGCCATTTTCGAGAAGTNAAATATCATTAAAATAATGAGTCCTCGTTTAAAACTTCTCAAATTATGAAATGAGTTTGATTTGCACGAAAATGAAGGTGCACCTACAGCGAGAAGGATATCGCTGAACACAAAACGACTTTCATTTCCATGGCACAGAATAACTGACGTGGGCGCCAGGGGCTAAGAAGAGCGCGAAAGCAATACTAATGTTCTTTTTTGTAGTTGTTTTTTCAGTGAAACGATTTTCAAAATGTCCTTACCTTCTCTTCTGGCAAAAGACACACTAGTTTCATCATGGTGCTAGTCTTTCGGTGTGTGAACGCATGATACATGTTAGTGAACGAAGTCTTGTAAGCCTTGATTTTGTCTTTTCCATACTTGGCCTCTGCTTCCTCTGAAGTGGAACAAATAGCAGTTAGCTTCCTCGTGTTACTTTTTAGTTCGCTTTTTCCCTTTCCAGTCAGGACAGATGCATAATTTCCATCTCTGTCGAACCTCCTTGGGACTTCCTTAGGCAAATACTCCTGACGTATAGCCTCAAGTTATACCACCCACACCACGGCGGAGGAATTTGAAAACGCCGCTTTATTTTTACGGTTAGGCTTACTGTCCACACTAATCCGTCACGAAAACGGAGCTTTACGAAAACGCTCTTCAAACCGGAGGAATTTGAAAACACCGGCTTTTTGTTTTCGCGTGGACGGAAAACAATTTGGAAACGGAGCTTTTCGGGAACGATGGCGCCACGATAATCATTAGATTTTCCTGACCGAGTTTTCCTCAAACACAGATCCAAAATGACCGGTGATTGGTGCGTTTTGAAATTTCTCTGGTGTAGTGTGGACGGAGCCTTAGATGAAGTGTGACTGGACGTTAAAATGGCTGCGCGAAAATTGCGGTCATTTTTTCCTTCAACCACGGCCATACATGTAAATAAAACTTGGACGTGACAAATATGTTGTAAATATGTGACATTTTTTAATACCTTGTGTTAGACCCACAGTTCCTAAAGGTGGATGACTGAAAACCACAGTGGGGATGTTATTGTAGTCTAACTTCAAATCTTTTTGTCCGTCAAACAGTCTGTGAGCAAGTCTTCTGCCGGCTGCAATGGCCACTGAAAGGACAATAAAAACAGACCGTACTCATTTCATTTATGCATGTATATACTTAATAATTAGATTATGAGCTCGAGATTTCTATCGGGTGATAGTTGACGAGGGCGCAGCCCGAGCCAACTGTTACACATAGAAATCGAGAGCGAATAATCTAATTGTTTTGGTATAAGTCTACTAGTCGTTTAAACTTTATCTAAGTCCTTTTCACAGACACTTTGAAAACGCAAAGACGCGGCCGCCATTTTGTTAACAAGCGCACACTGCTCGGCTACTCACCATCTACTTAACAAATTGCGGCTCGTGGTTCCACAGCCACTTTGACAATGTTATGGCGCAATTCATCATCAATATGAGGACAGACGCATAAAAAAACTGACGTCAATTTGTTTTTTTACAATAACAAGACCCTAAAATGGTCAAATGCCGGAAATAAATGAGGGGAAAACACGCCGTAAGCTTGCCGTAAACAAAGATAAGTGAATTTTATTCAAAACGACGCGAACATTGTCAATGGCTTTTCTCGCTTTTTGATTGGCTACTTAAAAAAGTCCATAAAACCTCATTGGTTAAAAAGTTGACAGTTTGACAGCTGAAAATTGAACTTGAAAGCTTGCATAAATTAAAATTTTATCCGTCTGTACTCTTATTGATGATAAAAATGAGCCAATCAGCGCGCGAGAAATTAGACAGTTATTGTAAAAAACAGAGTAGCTAGTGAGTAGCGCAGCCAATCAGAGAACGGCATTCGTGATAGAACGCTAGTAGATTTATACTAAAGAACGCTAGTACATTTAATGGGTGACAGAGGCACTGTGAGAGCTAAGCATGTGAAAAAGACAATTTCACTATATTTTGTTGAAATTCCTTCATTCCAGTAAGGAGACTTTATTTCAAACTTGGTACTGACTAAAATGGTTAAACATCTATACCTGGGGTGAGTAAAGCTTTACCACACACATCTCCTAAGGCATATACACCAGTCCTTGATGTGTTTTGGAACTTGAAGGGAAGCACAAGGAGACATTATTAACTGCATTTATGGTTTATTTAGCATCTTTCTTCAGTTTGAAAATTCAAAACAAACACTCAATCACTGTATCAATGTGCAAACATACCTCGTCGACTATTATATGCCCTTTGGCATCCATATCTATTCCCTGAGGACATACAAAACAATTTTTAAATCACAATGTTTTAGCAGTTAGAAATGAATTATTTGGAAATTAAGCAATCAAGCAATGTTCTTGATTGGAAGAGGGGTGGAGGGGTGCTCCCTATAATTGACTAACAGGTACAGTGGAAGCCCGCCTTACAACCACCCCCTTAATATGACCACCTCGTTATTACGGCCACTTTATTCTGGCCCGAAAAAAAGCTCAGTCAGTCATTTTCCTATTTAAAGAACTCCTTTAATACAACCACCCCATTAATACAACCAATTTTCCTTGGCCCGAAGGTGGTCGTTTTCCACTGTACATGCATCTGCCTGAAAGAGTGCCTTTTTCAAGCTGGAAGTATTTGATAAGGCAGGGGGTGGGGGTCATTTTTAGCAGTATAAGAAAAGGGAAAGCTCTCTGTCTCATTTAGGTGATTGAGACGCTGCCTCTTTCAAAATGTTGCCAACAGGTGAAACCACATGTAATGACTAATTTATTCACAGAGGTTAGTGAAGGGATGCAATGTTTCTATTGTATGTATGTGACAGGGGAGTCATTTTCCATGGCAGGAATATGAAAGGGTTTGTCCTTTCTTGTCACAACTAGTATAGAAAAAGGTAAGGGTTTAATATGGACCTTGGAGCTAGTCTCCCCATTCACTTGTTGAGTACTGTTAAGTCCCTGCCCCTGTTTTTGACATATAACTATTACAGTTGAGCTATGCTATTTTGAACTCTCAGTGGAAACAAAAAATACAGTTGAACCCTTCTATTTCAACCCTCAGGGGAAACAAAAAACAATTCGAAATAGCGGGAGTTCAAAATAACCGATAGTAAATGACTGAAGGGAAAATCCAAGGGAAATGATTTTGAGTTCGAAATAGCAGGGAATGCGAAATAACCGAGTTCAAATTAGCGGGATTCAACTGTACTGATGTAGAAAGCAATCATGTGTTTCGCTTATTACCAAACAGCTAACTCTCTTTGCATGCATCCTCAACCCTTGGTCCATTTAAGACAAGATGCAGTTCAACAGAGAGCTACTGTAGCTTTAATTAATATTTAGCGTATATGTACTTGTACATGTAGCTTCATAGTCAGAAATCTGCATTATTATTTTCCCACACCAGAAAGCTTGTCAACTCTATGGCACATGTTTTACATGTTGATGTTCGTCCTTCGTAGCTGAAGATGACCAAGACACCTAGTTGGCTGTTGAGCTGGTATGGTGTGTCAGGAGGTGGCTGATGTTTTACATGTTTTACATATAAACACATCACTGTCTGGAGGAAATTAAAACATTTTAAGTTGACAACATACCAGACCACCTAATCCAAGGATGTCAGTATTTGGACCTCTTCCGATGGCGAGTATAATGCAGTCAAAACCTGACAGAGCCACCTTATCTTCCTTGTTTTTCAAAGCATGCACAGTCATCAGACCACTTCCACTATCTTTTGTGATCTCCTGGATCTGGAATGAATCGTAATTTGTNAATGGGAATTAAAGGAATTATAACCATCACACTTACAGACATATGAGTTTGGAGATCAATTCCAGCCTTGACCATTTCATTGGTAACTCCTTCACTTAGCATGGAGTCAAAGGTTCGAAGCACCTGACAAATGTAAGAATCAAAGTTAAAATAAAGAAAAGCATTTTTTATAAGAAAAGAATTTTATATAAAACTAACAACCAATTGGACATTGATGCATACCCTGTCATATCTGATGAAAGATGACACTTTAGAGCCTAATGCATTTAGTATTCCTGCTAACTCCACGGCAATGTATCCTGCTCCAATAACCGCAGTTTTCCTGATAGATTAGAAGAACACCAAGTTAGTAAATGTCCTATTTCATTATTCATATGTTCAGTTTTTAAATAAAGACAGGCCATTTCTGAGTTACCTTGTGCCTCTGTTTCCAAACTAGTCCTTGTGCAAAACCTTTAAGTCTTAGGAAAATGAGTTTGATCTGCATGAAAATGAACCTGTAGGCAGAACTCATTTTCATATGAATGGATTTGCACATAGATTTATTTTGACATAGTGGCAAAAGGCAACTCGGAAATGGTCTATTCAATCGTGGTCCATGACACTTTTGTTGATTTTTCCTTGTAAAGATCTGTCTGATCAGACTACTGCTCAATCCAATTCTTTCCTCTTGATCACCTTAACAAGTTCTCCCCACCATTCCTTTACATGTACACATGTACTTTGAATGATACATGTATATGTAGCTCTGAGATTTTGGCACTTCATCAAGATGGTACTTGTATCAATCCCTTAGTTTAAAATAAGGCTGGTGAAAAATGTCCCAAAATGAAACTTGATCAATTAGAAAAATTCACAAGTTAGCTCACTTTGGCAGATCCTCCAACTCAAAGAAGCCATCACTGGTGATTCCATACTGACAGCCTGTTGAAAGAACATCACCACAGTCACCCACAGAAACTGGATATATGTGTGTACTTACAGTACAGGCCCCAGTTGTTTGAAGGCTAGACATTGCTATCCACTAATGCTATCCACCAGATAGTTCACTTTCCAGTGGATAACTGTTAACTAAACAAACCACGCTATCTGCTCAGTGGATAGTGATTTATCCAATTGATAGCATTATCCACCTTTCAAAAAACCCTGCCAGGAATGGAATATTACTTAGGATCTGTACTGATCCTGAAAAAATCCGTCGCAAATGTGTACAGTTACGTAATACTATGTAATTCATGTATAAAGGTCCTAGTATTCAGATGCTTCATATTCTTTAGGATATTCTACAGGACGCCAGCTTGTTACATGTTAAGATCCTTGAGGAAATTGGCATGTGATGTTGTAGGATTTTGTAAGGTTTAGGATCCTGAGTAGAATTCATACTAAAATAAACTAGTATTTTTACCTGGAAATGCAGGTACTGTTGGCCTTCCACCACAAGCAATCAATATGTGTTTGCCACTGTACACAGTGTCCCCAACTTTGATGTTTCCTTCCGGTGTGAAAACAGCATGACCAGGAATGTACTCAACATTGTCCTATGTATGACATGGTCAATAAATTAATTTACTTGTTAATTAATTAATTATTAACTTATGATTGAAAATTAAAATCATCTTATATTGTCATATATGTAATCATACCATGGTATTGAATGACAATTAGAATATTTAATTCTACTCATTTAGAGCTTACAACTGTGCTTACTGATCTTCATTCAACAATGACAGAGGTAAAGTCTCCATAAGAGCAACGTGGCCCATCAGGTCGGCACCTATCTCCAGTTTCTGTAGCAGGAAGTGACTAGAAGTATTTCTACTCCCCCTGGCTAAGGTGTTAATTCGCCCGTACCCATTTAATTTACACCTGGGTGGAGAGAGGCACTGTGGGAGTAAAGTGTCTAGCCCAAGAACACAACACTATGTCCCCTGCCAGGGCTTGAACCCAGACCACAGGCAGGTGCACTAACATTGAGGCCACAATACCTCCACAATTCAATTTTAACAATCAGGTACCAAACAAATATTGTTATTAAAAATGAAATAAAAGATGGCACGAGTTTGACATAAATTCATTTCTGTGATTTAATTCAATTGTACAGGAAACCAACTGGTGTTTTAAAATAAAAGTATTATATAGTGCTTGAATTTTCACTGAATGTCACCTTTTTTAAATTGTTCTCATAAATGCCATTCAATCTCTTGATATATGCATCTCTGGAGTTCTTAACTGTCCTGTTAGAAGCAACAATTTGATTAAAATTATCCTAGCTAGACATTCAAGTGTAAGTTTTTAATATTACCTAGTTCAATCGATATTGTGATTATTAAACTGTAGATGTTATGGAGGCATCATGTGATTTTTGTGTACATCATATTGTTATCTGAATAATCTTTGTACACTTGATGAAAATAGATTCCAAGGAAAGTACTATTAAAACAAATATAGCTCTCAGAAAGCCAAAATATTAATGCTAACTACGACATGTACAATTGTAACTGATATTAAATATCTGCACCAGTCTACACTTACGCCCAAGAGAATTTATTAAAAGTGACATCAAAGCCATAATCAGCATGGTCATGAATGTATTCAGCATGGACAGCTGTATTAAACATCACCTACAAACAAGAAAAACAGGTTTTGAAATAAAATTTTACAGCTATCTAGAAGTACTGAAAGAAGAAGAAGGAGGGGGAGGAGAGTCAAATATCCAATTTCTCAGTCAAAATTGTACCAAAATCCCATTTCCCAAACTGTGTAATTTTTGCCTAAATCCTGGCCCAATTTCCATTTATCTGTTTGTGATTCCAGTCGCAATATTCCAAATCCCATTTTTCTCAGTAATAAATAGGCAAACCCAGTTCCCATTTTACGCCTCTTAGCCTCCTCAGGTACATGTAACAATATTGTTAGATTAAATATGGCACAGAAATAATAATCTGAACCTCCGAGATCCTGTGGATCATCATGGAATTTGACCTTCATTGCAAAGGAATTAGACAGATGACATCACAATGAGTGAAATGAGTGGGAACTGAATGAAAACTACAGGTGTACTGACCTTCTTTGGAACACAGCCAACATTTACCTGGTAAAATTGAAAAGCGGAGACAAGGATCAAAACAATTATACATGTATATGTCTCTCTGATTTATTACCAAAAAGTAATTTATTAATAATCTCATAATGATACTACTTGTCAAGCGTATGTGTCTACGTGTCACTGTTAAGCCCAGGTCAAACTCATCAACTCTTGGCTAAATAGAAACTCTGGTCAACTTCATCTTAGAGTTGATTTGACAAGATTTCTGTGACATGCTGCCTATCTTTTGGCAGCACTCATGCCCAAACATTCTAGTCATGTTACTACGTGCCAACTGGAGTATAACATTGCGTTGTTCCAAGAAAATATCTCTACTCCTCTCACAGAAGGTGTTTTGGTTTGAGCCCTTCCCCCTACCCCACCCTTCTGGAAATTCCAGTTCATCTTGAGTTTATACTTTTTTTTTACAATACACAATTTAGCATTTGAGACCCCACACTCCTGACTGGAATTTCAGATGATCTTCCATAATGTGAGTAAAACTAATTTTATGAAACTGCACAATGACAGCAGTTACTGCAGGCTACAGCTTAAGGAATAGAAAATACAGCTTGTTTGAATATAATGTTAAAACTACAAAGCATTTGAAAAAAGTGAGGGCACATAATTATGTGTAGTTTGATATTATGCAAACAAGAATTAAGAACCACTTAATATATAAGCTCAACTCATGTTAGTAGACTATAGCAGGGGTGTATCCAGGACTTTCCTTAGGGGGGAGGGACTACACCAATAAGGAGGGCGTAACTGACTGCAAAATAGTCCAGTTATATTAGAAAGCCGCATGTCACCTCAGAGGGGGGGTATAATGATAATGATAATTACCCCCTACACCCTCCCCCTACATCCGCCCCTGTGTAGTTTATGAATACAACATGACTATACATATTTTTGCGAACTTTTATTAAGTTACATGTTTTCCAATTAAATCATTCTACTGTACATGTAAAACATAGTACAATTAATCATTGAAAGAGAAAAAACCGCTGTTTAACGCCTCATCTGTGAGCCGGTAATCCATTAGTTAGAGTCGGTGGAACTTTTAAGGGTGTCATTAATATCAGAGGTCGATCTTTCTAGCTCTCGTAGGTTATTTAGATTGACAAGATATGGTAAGCTGTTGACAGCTTTGGGTACCTGCCGGTTTGAAACTTTTAGAATCGGCATGAAGAGATATATCATCGACTGTAGTAAGAAACAACAGATAATAGCTTACTGTTATCTGTCAGGTTCACGCCTTCTACTAATAATAGTAATGTCGCTTTGTTGAAAATTAACTCCGTGTTCTCCGATTCATTTTGAAGGTGACAAAAAGTGCAACGAGAACAATATACTGTGTTTCACCGTTCGTTTTTAACTAGAGCAAATTTAGCTGTATAAGACCTTGCCGTGTCAGAGTAGAAACCCGGGCCAATATACACTCATTGAAGGACTTAACATTCTTGCAAGACCAAACCCACATTGCAAAAGATCACAGAAATTAACCTGCTTTTCTGAGTTACACAATACCTACACAAGTTCCACCAAGTCTCCCATGCTCGATAACAGCGGCTTTTGCACCAAGAGAAGAAGCCCTTCTTGCACTTGCCAAACCACCAGATCCACCGCCGATCACAAGATAGTCGAAGGTTTTAACTGCTTCAGACATCATGAGCCGAAACGACAAGCGCATTTGAGTGGAAATTATGAGCTTTCACACCGACTCAACAAGAGTGTTTGCGTGACTCTAGTATTCGGGGTTCCAGGTGTTGCCGGTCTTTCTGGACCGAGATTAATAGACTGGAACCTAGAGTTCCGAAAAAACAAGATGGCGACCAAGTTGTTGTGAGTGGAAAACTTATCATTCGAGAATTCCAATTGTTACTTTGCCTTTTTGCGAAGCTGCTTGACAACATTTACGTTTCAACTAGAGATTGTTATTTTTATATTCGCACAAGTGAAGACTGGCCACGAGAAAGCTTTTTCCTTGGTACTTTGGAGTTTGTTTACTTCAAGGGATTTGTTGCCAAGCGTATCTTCTTTGTTGTAATTTGGCGACTTGCTACTAACAGCTGTACAAGAGAAAGGTTTAATCGAATTGTCGGAACTACCAGAGACATATTTCATGAAAAAGTATCAAAGCTTTGCCATAAGTTGAGTTCTTATCACGCCGCCGGTGTGAAAGTTTACCTGGAGTCTTTTTTCGAGTTTCACAGTTCTAGCGACAACAGCTGATCTGTACATGTGACCATTTTATGCTGCTTATATCAAGCAGTTAAATAAGAGTCACTGAACATCGGCATCTGTTGCCAGAGAAAGGAACTCTTGATACTCCATCTGCCAGACATCATGTCTCTACGGACTAGAATTAATGGCTTCACTGCATGGGTGAATTTAAGGCTATCACCTTCAGGACACTTCATGCACAACATCCTGACTGATCTGCTGAAGGGATACAACATGAAGGTTCTTCTTGAAAGTAAGCATTCATCACTGGTCGAAAATGTTACCTTGAAACCTCACAGAAAATGGATTTAAAAGTTAGGTCTTTATCTTTGAAATTCATAATGCTGACCAAAGGGATTTGTTGACAAATAGAAGAGTCATCAAATAGTTATTGTAGGGTGCATAATGGATAATTTAGGATTTTCTTAGGCTCTTATCATTGGATATTCTAGGAGTACATAGTTAACCTCAACAACTTCCCCAGGGATTTGTCTTCAAGACAAATACTGGGACAATTGGGGTTTGCAATTAACAGGCATGACCACCGCTTCCCCCCTGTTCCCTTACCCCCTCTCCCCAAGGAAGGCCAGAGTTTTTACATTTTAANTGTTTTTGGAGGAAAGTTGTAATTTTAATTAGTACTTGCCAGATTAGTTAGTACTAGTAGTATATTATTGAATAATGAAATAAATGAGTAAGCTGTTATCATAACACGATTATCTGATTGTTAAATCCTATCACCTTTTAAAAGATTTCAAGAAGCTGGATTCAATAAGCCTTTAAACAGTAATAATAATGATAATTAATAATAATAATAATAATAATAATAATAATAATAATGATGATGTTTGTGTTGATTCTGCTGTGAGCACATTATCTCCCAGAGTTCTAAGTGTTTTTAATTCCCTAGTTATATCATGGTTGAGTAATATGATCCTTACATTTTTACTTTAATAAAAGATAATCTTACTGTTACTTGTTGTAAAATTTTATAGGTTTAATGGCAAATTGTGTGATTCTTTCTTTCACCTTTCCAACAGGTTTTTGACTTATTATGGTGCCTTGTCTGTCACGATATCTGGTTTGTCTGGGAACGATCTGAGTTCCTTCAACAAGCTGAAGGACAGATGCTGACATCCAAACCTTTCTCAGTAAGTATTAATAACAAAGGTATGGCTGATAAATTTATTTGCTTATCAGACAATCTCCTCCTTGCTCATGAATCAATCCCATGCTGAATTAATTTACTGTGATTAAAATGTGCTTTCATGTGTCCAGACTGTTACAAAGTAAGTAATGTTCTATAACCTGTACTCTCTGTTTAATTTTCAGTGGACACCTCCTCCACCTCCNTTGTTACAAGTTGTTGTCATTTTTTTAAAGATTAAGGCACAATAATTTTAGTACTCTTAAAATGGGCCTCAGCTTAGAAAATTAATTTTAAGTCAGAACAACCTGTCAGAATGCTGGTAGTAACCATGTGATAAACTAGCATCCCATCCTAAGGGAACAGCAATTTTCCTGGTAACTTCATGCTACTGAAACTGACATCGGTCTACCTGGGCTCAGGCCCAGGTCAAACATCAAAATTCACTTGAGATGAACTAAATTTCCATATGAGTAGATCCAAACGGGTAAAGCATTACCGTTAATGTGCCAAACATTGAACTTACTTCAAATTTAGATTGACCAACACGTTCGTATCGGTCTGCTACAGACAAACTCAGTTGAGTCAGACGTAGAACTTATCATGAACTTAATTTACTCAGTTTAGTTCATCCCATGTGAAGTTTGATGTTTGACCTGGGCCTTACAGGCTTACAGTGACAGAGCAGTATCAGTTCTGTTAATCAATGAAAGCTTTTGTCTTTAATCAACAGCAAGTCAGATGATATGGTGATCAAACGTCACAGATCAAGGAACTATCCGTCCCCGGAGTACTGTATCCTGGACATGGTCAATGCTCACCTTAAAATGAACCGTGAAGGACGTAAGCTCACTAGGGGTGTTTTGGTATGTGATATTATTCCTGGGGATGACAAATTATAAATTAATTTGCAGTTATCTGATTGATGTCAATGATGCCAACTGGCTTTGTGGTCTCATTTTAGGTTGATGAGTGAGTGCCCTATTTCTAACAAAAGTATCATTCTTTCATCTGGACTGTTGTGAATAAAATGGGTTAATATAAGTTAAACAAAGATACGACTTGTTCTCTTTTTGATTAGCATTATTGGCACGCGAGTGCACATTTTGGTATTAGGCCGCCATCTTAGATTTCGTAAAATTTGCCCAGGAAGTAGGCTTAAAAATTGAGATGGAAAGCTGGCAGCATTGAAAACCTGGTCTACTGAGTGTTACGTTCCAAAATAACCCCTGCACTGCGGGCTATTTGATTAGTTAGTTTTGCTTAGCACAAAGCACTTACAGCTATAATAGTAATGCGATACTTAGCAATTGCATTTAGATCTCATACTTGGTAAATGCCTCTTGGTGATTATAAATGTTTGCAAGAAATCTCTTTCAGAAGACTTTGTCGTAATGTGAAAGATTAGAGAACCCTTTCATATTTATTTAGGTTTTTAGAAATCCCGAGTATCAGGTTAGGCAGCTTTCCAGTGTCGTTGTTTTAAATACTCTTTGATTCACTTGTATTTTGTTTTCACAGAGTTTGAGTGACCTAACTGACAGCAGGTATGTAAATTGAAGTAATTATTAATGTAAATATTGAACAAAAGATAATAATCAATTAGTAAATAAATAAACTGGAACCTTCTTAACATCTACAGTAGATAATAAAATTATTTCTTTTCTCTGTAGACATTGCTCTAAAATCACTCCAAATTTAAAGAGAGCATATAATGTTTTAGATTTGGTGCAGTAGGTGAAGAAACAATTGCTTATTGCAGAATTATTTTTGGATCCCGATGGGGGATGTGTGGCACATTGAGATGCTACTCCTTTTTGAAATGATGATATTTTTTGTTACGATTTCTGTCTTCTTTTTTTAGGGTTCTGTGTGCTCTTGTGAATTCATTTGTGCCTGAAACATTTACCACAGAAGTCTTACTAAATGACAGGTCTGCTATTAAATGCTGGTCAAAATTAACATTTATTTGATATATATTAAAGTAAATTTTATCTATTACCTGCTATGCATGTTATATACATATGAGTGTTACCTCAATACTTATTGTCATAAGTTCTCATTTGATGATAGTGCTTATTGTTTATAGATGACAGTAAGCATGTAAGAGGAATGACTACATTCATGGAAAACGTTTGGTATTTCTGGCTATAGATGTACAATAATATTAATATCACCTTGATGACTATTATTTTCTTTAGATGGACAATAAACCTTGCCTTAACAACTGCAAACCAGATGTTCAAGTCTTCCAATCCTTTTGACTCTCAAGACTTGGTTGAGGTAGCTAGTTTTATATGCATTGTAACCATAAATGTTCCGTCAAAAAATGAAAAAAACCTGCAGCTGCAACCAGGGGTCTCCTACGGAAAAAGGCGCGCGTTTATCTTAGCCAATGAGACTCGCCACCTCGCGTTTATTTGAATAATAATAGGCAATATGACAGACCTAAGATATTTCATGAACTGTAAGTAAGTGTCCCGAGAACAATAAGCGTTCTGCGCGATGGTTTAAAATCGTATTTCTATTACTCGACAGGAGCACAGAACTAGCACAAGCTGTTGACGTAACGATGGGGCGAGAAAAGAGAATTTACATTTTAATTTTTTCTTAGCGGAAATTCTAAAACAAAATAATAGAAAACTTGTTCTTCGTGTTTCTTTGAGTTATGGAAACACTCGCGGAAGTTTGGAAGAACTCGAAAAAGCTGTGGAAACACTCGCCTCTTGGCTCTCGCGTTTCCACAACAATTCACTCGTGTTTCTATACCTCGATAGAAATACGGTCCATGTTTTCTATTTCTTAAGTAACGTCACCCATCAAATGTTCTTATTCTGTGCTTCTCCAGGAATCTTAGCCCAACTATTTTTCCCTTTTTTGTCTCAGCAATGTTGTAGGAATGTAACTCAATATGTAATAACATCTAAGTTGCTTTTAATTACTTTGTTACATAGGGTGACATCATGGCAGTGTGCTGTTATTTTGGGTTTTTCTTCATGAGTGGATACAGGTATCGTCAATCCAGAGCAGTGCTGAAGAGACTGGTGAGCGTGACTCTTTCATTCTCAATGAAAATCTTATTTCTCCTAATGACATTGATGCATTTTCAAGGAGACAGGTGATGAGAATTTAAAAAAGATCATGGACAAGGGGGCCGGGCCCTTGTCTTGATGTACTAACAGCTGTATCACCAATTCGCAGAACTAATTAAAGTACTGTCGAACCTCCACTAACGGCTACCTCTCTACAACGGCCGCTTTCCGCTGTCCCCAAGGTGGCTGTTGTGGAGAGGTTATTAGCAGCTTATTCAAAGTCCCTGCCATGCATTACAGCCAGCTAGTGAAGCCAAGATAAATGTCAGACCCTCTGTGTCTAACGCACGTAGCAGTCAGACAACAGTCCCATGCTCCACTGTTGCTCTCCTCTCATTCATGAACAAGGATGTTGCAACAGATTTGGGATGCTTTACAGTGTGACTACTCGAACCGGGCCACTCGGAAAAGAGTCGTCAATCAGAAGGTTACTTGATAACAAAGGATAGCGATCTCATCATCTTTTTGTTATATAAACCAACAACACTGAAGAACACGAACAATAGTTCTGAACAAAATTGAAAACCCAACACAGTGCGAAGTGCTGCCAACCTCTCAGGAAGCTTTGTCATTTGTGTTAGTTTCGATCCTAATTTTTTGGCGTTTTTTAACGGTTTTGGTTTAGTTGTCGCAAAATGAGTTTTCAAGCTAAATTTTTCGAGCGATAATTTGCCGTCAAGGACGGAATCTCTGAGTGTATATAACGCAGAGGAGTCGATAGTGTTTATGTTTTCACGTCAAACAGACCGTTGCTTGCCGTCACGAGAAGCTACCAGTCCATTGTTCTCAGGTTACGATTTGATTGGTTAGTTCTCTTTCAGGTGGCCCAGGTTCGAGTAGTCGTACTGTAAGCCTGGTTCCCACCTGTGAGCTAAGGAGATAAGCGCATTGCCAAGCGTAATCACAGGAAAACGAAACATTTTCCTTTTTCTTGTGATTGCGATTATGCTTATTGTTAATCACTAGTGTTATGCTGATTTCACAAGTGGGAACTGGCGCGAAATAAGCACAAGCATAAGCCCAAGAATTCAACCAGTCGCCATCAACAATCATGTCATTGTTTTTTTTAGGATGAGTTGAACGTTTTAAAAATTGGAATCAAAGATGAAATGGAACAGTTCCCGTCTCTTATCACAAATGTGAAGGATTTGAAGAGAAAGAAAGAATTAGAAAATGCTATATCCGTTTATGATGAAGGTACATACTGCACTATATTTTGAATTTTTGTTTTATTAAAATGTTCAAATGTATAAATGCATATTGTTCAAATGTATGTTTTCTGTTTGCATTCACTGGATTGTTCATTTACATGCACCCTCTTTTGCTTATTTGATCACCCCGGGGGTGGGGGTGGAGGGAGAATTCCCATGTGAAAATGTCGGTGATGCACGTCGAGAAAAGAGACCATTTTGGGTGTGCCTCGAGCTTTATTTGTCCCCTGAAAGATACCACTTTAAAACGGACAGAAAAGCGTTTTTTGTTAATAATTTCTTCGAGTTCAATCCTACAAGATACCTTGACTGCTTAAAATAAAAATAAAAAATCATCCCCAAAACTCCAAGTGAGACCAAAATCCTTGATTTACACCCCTAAACGAGAGCATTCCCGACCTTTTCTTGTGGGAATCCTCCGCACGGACTCGCTGAATTTTTCCTGAAAACTTTTAACTGCCGTGATGCGTTTGTTTTCAGAAATCCAGTTTTTGGAACAGAACTACGACATTGTCAAGTGTAACGTTTGGATGAGGCAAGTGGCAGAGATCCAAAATAAGGTATTTGAAGATAAGAGAGTGGAGCGGAAAAACAATCGAACGTTCCTTGAATTCTATGTCGCCTGCTTTAGAGGCTGACAGAGTGACAATTTCGCTAACACCGTTTCCATAAACCAGGGGCTTCAGTAACGTTTTCAGAAGGAGGGCAACTTGTTTCACAAGCGGGCACATCGTTTTGAATTTAACTTCTTTAAAAGAATAACTTTCCTCTAGATGGTCAAACCAGGCAGTCATCCTCATAGCTGGTCAGTTTGCCCTGTGCTCGGCCATTAATGAAAACCCTTCATTGACCCTTTAAGCTTAACGTTTGTTAACAAAATACCTGGTTAGAAAATATATATTCTCTTTGCGTTTCATACAGTGCAGAGCAATGGTAGCCGAAAAAATTGTGCAACGATTTGATGTGGTTAAAGTTCCCAGGTGAGTAATAAGCTTATAGATGACTTCATAGGAAGTGCAGCCTAAACGGTGTATGGGTTTTTATGCGAAACGTCGTACGGTACGAGGCGAAGCGAACGAGTGAGCTTTCTGAAGTTTTCAACGAGAGAATAATCTTTTTTACTTTTTTAATTTTAAATTGAAGATAGTTACCCGAATCTTATGGACAGTTTTGTAGTCGTATGAAGTTCTTTTCTATCTCTGTGTGTGTACAGTATTGATCTGTAATGTGATGTTATCTTGATTCCAGGAACACCACAATCAATGATCTAGCAGTTGACATGATTATCAACCTGGTAAGAGGTTCTTTTATAGTAAAAATGCTGATGTTTTTGTTTACTTTATTTGCGTAAAAGAATTCTGTGACGTATTCCTTTAGTTAGTTTGTACATTTTTACTTAATTGTTATTTTCTTTTCTTGGCATAACTGTAAATTAGCTGGTGCGTCCTGTAGACTCTGCTTATCAAGTCTGCAGGACGCACCGTTACAATAGCCAAGTTTAAACTATGTCTATGTTTATGTCTGTGTTTCCTTTCATCCTTTAAAATGTCGGAATAATTTAGAACAGATGATGGGTGTTTGCCAGTCACTCATTTACTCACTCCCTTACCGAACCCTTCACTCACTTGCGCTCACTTATTCCGCTCTCCGGTTTTGAGACTCGTTACATGCCCCCCTAGTTCTCTCACCTGCGTTTTTTCCTCCTCCTCTCTTCCTTGTCCCTTCATATGATCGCTGTCCCCTCTCTCCCTACCACGTTTACTCACTTCTCACTGTGTACCCCCTCTCGAACGTCGTTCCCTCACCTTTCACTGCCACCTCCATCCAGTCCCTCCCCAGCTCAATATCCACTAGCCTCCTACGAAGACATTCTTTTGGCTCGTCATGGGTGACGAGCCTAAAGAGCGTCTGCGCAGGAGGCCAGCTCTCCACCCCATGCTTGGAAAATTTGTGTATGGAGAGGCGCGAATACCTCATTTTGCTCTTAGATCCGATTTGATTTGGATATGAGTTTAGATGAATTATTGCCAGGGGTGGAAGACGTATTTTATCTACGAGTTGTTAACTTAGCCCCTTTTCATTCTCTATCAGAGTCTAACGTGTGGGACAGGTTTTTACAGTAGCAAAATGCATGAAACGGTTTGGAAGGGTCGCAAGCTTGTACTGAAAGACAAAGAGACNTCACGTTCTGTCCTGTAGACGAAATCAAAGCATTACTGTTGGTTTTTCTTCGATACATGAAATAGTAATTGTTGATCTAAGTGCACCTTGTTAGCTTGGCAACTTATCACCGATAGAGGCTTGTTCTTCTTACTTTTCAGATTTACTTTGAAAGCTCATCTAGAAACAAAACGTTAAAGGCTGGATCTTGGTATGTCAAATAAATGATTTTTTACTCATTTCTTGCATAATTGTTTCTGCTTCTAAAGCGTATTTCATCAACTTACAATGATTTTCAATTTTCTCCTCAGGTTCCTATACCAGATATTTCCAGGCACTACACTGCAGTGTCAGCGACTGCTGTTCAAAGCAGCGAAGACAGGAGAACTAGATACAGTACAAAAACTTGTATGTAAAGTTACATTGAATCCAGTGTTTCAATTTAATGGGTGTTGTAAAATGCCCTCACAAGAAAAACAGATAGAGTTAGCTCGAGCCTCTCCAGTGCTTAATGGGTTCGGTCCATGACCAAATGTTTTGGAAACCCCGGGAAAGTGTTGATAGACGTGCGATCTGACTAGAAGGAGCAAAAAGAAAGACCAAAGGAAAAGTCATGTTTTGTTCTCGATAAATCTGAGTGTGTCAACTGCAATACGAAGCTTCTAGTGAAATCAAGATTCTTTTTAACGGTGGCTGACAGACAGACAGACAGACAGACAGACAGATAGATAGATGGACAAACGGACAGACGAACAGACAGACAGATAGACAGATGGGCATACGGACTAACGAACTGACTGACTGACTGACTTACTCACTGACTTGCTGATTGACCGACTGACCGACTGATTGACTGACCGACTGACTCAGACTGTTTGACTGACCGACAGTGTTATTGACTGATTGTGTAATTGATTGACTGATTGATTGATTACCTTTTGACAGGTGGCTTTCTTTAATGCTGACAAGAACTTTATCAAGTCAAAGGAGCATGGATCTGGCAACACTGCTCTGCACTTGGCCTGTAGGCATGGGCATTATGTAAGTCGTGCCTCAGTGAAAGTAAGACACAGATTTCACTCGATAAAACTTTGAGTTCATTAATTGTGACATCTCTCAAGTTTGTCTGGAACGTGGAGAAGTCAAAATAGTCACGTGCCTGGTTTTTTTGCACGTGTGGTTTACCTGGATTTTTGATTGGCAGAAAAGGCTGAAAACCCAATATCAACATATCAGCGAGTTAGTTAACGACTAGCAGCAACTCGGTGACTGTACGTAATGGTATGTACCGTTGCTGTAAGTTTTTGTTTGTGCTAGTCAGTCAGAGTACTCACTGTCAACTTTCTGTAATCGTTTCTTGGTTCCTAGGATATTGTGTTGTACCTGCTGGAGAATGGAGCTGACATTGACATGTCCAACAATCATCACAACACGCCTTTCTTCCTCGCTACAGAAAGCTTACAGAAAGAAATCTGTCAGGTGAAGAAACAAGTTAGATGTTTCCCACAAGCAAAACTGTAAAACACTGATATCGTAGATGGACAAAAGAGATCCTTTTTGTCGAACTATCCGCTAACACACTTGTAACACCTATTTACTTACATGCTTGCTGTTGCTAAGCTTTGCTCTTCGATTGTGGTGAACCAAGTAACAACAACAAAAACACAACAAAACCTTTTATTTCACCCCAGTGTTAGAAATTACAATTTTATAGAGTAAAANATCAAGTCAAAGGAGCATGGATCTGGCAACACTGCTCTGCACTTGGCCTGTAGGCATGGGCATTATGTAAGTCGTGCCTCAGTGAAAGTAAGACACAGATTTCACTCGATAAAACTTTGAATTCATTAATTGTGACATCTCTCAAGTTTGTGTGGAAAGTGGAGAAGTCAAAATAGTCACGTGCCTGGTTTTTTTTGCACGTGTGGTTTACCTGGATTTTTGATTGGCAGAAAAGGCTGAAAACCCAACATCGACATATCAGCGAGTTAGTTAACGACTAGCAGCAACTCGGTGACTGTACGTAGTGGTATGTACCGTTGCTGTAAGTTTTTGTTTGTGCTAGTCAGTCAGAGTACTCACTGTCAACTTTGTGTAATGGTTTCTTGGTTCCTAGGATATTGTGTTGTACCTTCTGGAGAATGGAGCTGACATTGACATGTCCAACAATCATCACAACACGCCTTTCTTCCTCGCTACAGAAAGCTTACAGAAAGAAATCTGTCAGGTGAAGAAACAAGTTAGATGTTTCCCACAAGCAAAACTGTAAAACACTGATATCGTAGATGGACAAAAGAGATCCTTTTTGTCGAACTATCCGCTAACACACTTGTAACACCTATTTACTTACATGCTTGCTGTTGCTAAGCTTTGCTCTTCGATTGTGGTGAACCAAGTAACAACAACAAAAACACAACAAAACCTTTTATTTCACCCCAGTGTTAGAAATTACAATTTTATAGAGTAAAAACAAAAATGCTAGGGGTGCTGGCTACACGAAATAACCTAACAGTTAAAAATACCAGGCAGCCACTTAAAAGAAAAGATATTTAGTCATGTTTAGGTCAGGGACACAAAACAAACAAACAAACAAACAAACAAGCATAGAAACACACACAAAATAGTAGAAATAAACAAAGTTAGGCTAATTGCCAGTAGACTAGACATCTTACCTTGCAAAACAGCATTAATATCCAGGAAGAGCGATGTACGTACAGATATGTACATGTTTGTTACATGTCTGTTTTTTGCAAGGGTGATGATCGCAGATTAGGCCTGTGGTGTTGTTTATTTTCCTGAAAATGTCTACAAAAAAGAAAGCTATGTAGCTTAGCTGTCCAACTCTTGATTGAATAAGTTGACAAATAAGAGGTAGAAAATAAATCATTTTTTTGACTGTTGTTTTTTACTACTTGATCGGTTGAATGAATGACTAACCGCGTGACGGACCGAGTGACTAATTGGTTGAGGGACTGATTCATTGATTGAGTGAGTGATTGATTGATTGATTGATTGATTGATTGATTGATTGATTGATTGATTGATTGATTTGATTGGCTGTCTGTTTGATTGACAGCTTCTTATTGAATGGGGAGCTGATGTGATGAAGCGTAACAAAAGCAGTAAAACAGCGTTTGACCTCATGCGTCACTATGAACTCAAGAAGTTCTTAGAAGGTAAATACTGACACTAGACGTGCCACCATTCTTGTACATTCCTGCTGCTGGTATATCGTTTTTACACGTACACTCCAATGCCATATATTTTTCATTAGCTAGTTTATATACCTCTTACTAACCTCGTCTTCTCGTTCCGTGCTGTGAGTTACGGATCCTCATTTTTTCCCCTTCGATTTATGGCACAATCGCAGGCGCTAAATCGAAGGGGGAAAAAACCAGGATCCATAACTTCTTACAGAACGGACCGGGAAAACGAGGTTAGAAGATATTTATTTTATCTCTATTGTGTGTCTGACGGGGTCGGGTACGATTTCAAATTTCTGATGCACGTCGAAAGCAAAACGAGTCAATTTAAGCTTTTACTTGCTATAAAAATTTAGAACGCTCGGCGATAAATCACGAAACATTTAAGCAACAAAAACAGCTTTGAATTTTAGCGGGCCGTACAGTAGAAACTAGAATACGGCCCGCTAAATTGATCAATCAAAAGCGATAATAATAATAATAATAATAATAATAATAATAATAATAATAATAATAATAATAATAATAATAATAATAATAATAATAATAATAACAACAACAATGGCATTGACAGTGAGAGTGGCAATGACATGACAATGACAATGGCAATGGCAATGGCAATGGCAATGACAATGGCAATGACAGTGACAATCATAATAATAATAATGATAATGATCATGATCATGATGATAATAATATAATAACAATAATAATAATAATAATAATAATAATAATAATAATAGAAGTAATTGATTTTTTCTTTCAGCAAATTATAAAGAGTGGCAGGAACTAGTTCCTCAGTTGATATCAGGAAACATCGAGAAGCTCGCTACAGTTGTGGACGTACATCACAGAAAGGAAAAGATGATGGCGAGTCTGAGAAGCAGGTAGATATCAAAATTATTTCCCCCTCGCCCTAGCTCGTTATTATTAGCAAGAACAATGCAAACAAAGACCTAATCATTATAGTGTCTCAAGGAGTATTCAGAATTCAAGGTAAATAGTCGTGACCCGTGCCAAACGCTTGAAAAGATGACCCAGCTCTTCACTTCTCGTTTCCTTTAAAATCACAATTACCTTCAAATTGACGAAAAAAGGAAATCAATATTGAGCTCAAAAAATGTTAACAAAAAACTGTTCATAGCTTGGTCAACGCGCTCAGCTACACCCAGCTAGTTCGCAGGCATGCCACTTAAACTGAAAGAAACAAATATATCAACTAAGCATAATAGGCTTAAAAACCTTGACTGACGGGAGGCAGACTAGTTGGCTACAAGCATGACCGGGGATTTGAAACTAGGGTCTACCGAGAAACAACTCCAGCTAAGTGGTCATTACGGGTCTTGAACCCATGGCCTTCGGATTTCAAGTCCGGCGCTCGAACCACTCGGCCACGCTGCCTCTAAAGCTCATTGAGATTTTCCAACAGAACTGTTTGAACTGATCATTTCTTTCGAGTAAGATTATCATGTCCTGTATTGCTATTTGTCTAAGTTTTATTCACTCTCCGATAGGTGTGTCAGCGGTAGTACGCTCCTCCATACAGCTTCGTTCTTTGGAGCGATCCCGGTGATTAAGGTATATTTGGTGATGGTTATACCACCTTAATGTCTATCTTTTGCTTTCTTTCTACCCTTTCTTCTTGCGAAACCTTTTAGACATCAAACATCTGTATCGGGTTACAGGTTTCTAAAGCAACGGTTGCATTGTTACGTTGATGAGATGAAGTAATATTTTAGGAAACAATCCCCGCTCTAGATCATAACAATGGCTGGCATTTTAAATTCAGATATTTAGCCCCATGACAGAACTTTAAGTCATTCCATTAAGGGATCACGAGTGTGTCTTACCTAGGTAAAAAGGACAAGTTAGTTAACACTGGTTCCGTTGCAAAAAGCGATGAGGGGATAGAAAGGTAGCCCGTCAAAAGTTGTCGCCCAGGGCCTGGTTCTCGAAGGTCCCGCAAAAATTTTCGCATCTGGAAAGCCATACCAAAATCACGTATTCTTAATATGAACGGGGGTTCTCTTCATACAAGAAGTTTCAGGCGTATGCAACTCCCTGTGTTTAGATACATGTTAATTAAAAATGGCTTTGCGGGCCCGAAAAGTTTCCAGGGCTTTCGAAAAACGGGCCCCAGCATTCTGTTTGGTTTGCGGCCAAATAATTCGCCAACACCAGTTATATCCTGGGTGAAGTGAGAGGCACCGGTTAAAATGCAATGTCTTGCTCAAGCAAGGCAACACAATGACCCCGGCTAGAGCGCGAATACAGACCTCGAGATCTGGAGTTTAACGTGCTTTCCGTTAAGCTGCTGGCTTTCCACTAAATTAGTCAAACGCATACGAAAACCGTTCGGTAGCGGTAGATATTCTTCTATAAAGACCCTTCATTAAGAGAAGCCATATTTACTCAACCAGAAAATATGTACATGTACAAGGCTACAACCGAAGAATTCTAGAAGGCCTAATAATTCAACAATGGCAACTCAGCTTGAACAAGCAAATTCACTCTTATATGGCTAAACTGTTCCCATCGGGAATTACGTAACGGATATAAATTTGCGAGTAGCAGACGGCTTTTTAACTCTGAAGACGACATTATGTCGAAAACCGTGCTTTACGTTTTTAACCATTTTTAATCGTTTCTTTTAAAATTTTGTCATAGATTAAGCAAACTTTAGGGATGTTATTTAATCAGGTTTCAAACCTTATTTTCAGACCCTGCTTTCTGAAGGGGTGGATGTCAATATATTGGACTACAAAGGAGCCACGCCCCTGCACAGAGCCAAAGACGCGGCAACTGTAGAGGTATACTCGTTAAATTTGTTGACGGTTCCGACTGCATCTTTATTGTTTATTACCGATCTGAGCTGGTAATAACACTAGAAACTTAGTAGTAGAGAGGGGGACACTCGAAAATTGCAACCCATCCTAACAAAATCACAGATTTGTGAAGTTCACCGTTTCAGTGGCATACGCCTACAGGGAAAACCTACTTGACTCTTCCACTCCCTACCCCGCCCAATTACCACCTCTCCCCCTGAAACTAGTTCTCGTCATTTGACAAACTTTGCATGTCATCTGCACTAATAAGAATTTTAATGTACCTTTACGTTCAGAGTTAGAAATTTGGAAACTTGTAAGCCCCTTTCATAGGTGTTGTCTCGCAGCTTTACCCTTGTCCTAACCTAAATTGTAATGTACAATGGCTGCTTTACACTGTCACGCCATCAAAAATAAAAGTCGGAACCATTCAATAAATTAAGCCAAAAATCTGGTCCATGATGTGATAGATGACTGATATATAAACTAAGATTTAGGCCTGTGCGGTTTTTCATTCACGCGTTATTCGGAAGTGTTGCACCCAGATTTACAGAGCTTTGTATGGAGACGCCATGTTGGTGCTACTCTAGAGCTCCGACAAGTTAGCAAAGACTTAACTCATCTTTTGACTTACGGGAGAGCCTTCTCGGGCCGCCATTTAATGTCACTCAAAGCATAAACGTGGAAATTCAAACGTGCTCTATAACAAAATGACGAAACCTGTCGAGCTTAAGAGTTGCAGCACGTCAGGTTATTACAGGACCTTATTTAAAAGAAAAAAATTAATGCTGTTTAAATGTTATTTTAAAAAATCTAATGAAACTAAAACCCCTGAAGGATTGGTAATTTTTCATTTTGGAACCGGAAATAATCTGATATCTTAGCTGTACGACTGTTCCAGCGTCATGCATGAGATCTTTGTTTAATTGGTTCTGTCCGTGTTACGGCTGTTTATCTGCTGCCCGATGTAAGATGAAATTTACTTTTTGTGTAATTTGTAGCACTTACCAGTCCAATTGACTGGCTAACCCGTTGCAGCGTGTAATTTGGTTTTTTATTGCTTTGTGTAGCTTCTCCTGGAGGCAGGATCAAACATAGACAGTGAAGACCACGATGGCAACACTCCACTGCATGTCAAATGTTACGGTGAAAGTGGAGAGGCCACTGACTTAGAATGCATTGAAAAGATGGTGAGATTAACCACGGTAATCCCAGCCAGACTTACTGCAGCCACAGGAATTCCACTCCCGATTAACCCTGCCGTATAGAGGTTTTGTACGGCAGCCATGTTGCATGGCAGAAACGATGAAAATGTTTTGCATTAGAAAGAACATTTTTTCCCCATAGGAAAAATAATCTATTGTTTCTGCCATGTAACATGGCTGTCGTGCAAAACCTCTATTTTAACGTTTTTGTCTGATTAAGCGTTTGACCACGCGTATCTTGTCGGCCATGAAGAAAACGAAAGCAAAACCAAAACAAAACAATCTGCTGCTCGGTCTAACAGCTCAATGCCTTCCGTTATTGTCCTTCCCACTGATACGTTGTTCTCTCTTCATGCCTTTTTTTTTTCATTGTACAGCTGATGAAAGAAGCCCCACTAAACATCAGAAATAATCGAGTGAGTGTCAAAAGATCACCTTTTTTATGTTTTATTGTTTGATTTATCTTACTCGAACTATCTTGGCGATAAGTGCCAAATCTTTGTACTTTACCATTGTCTTATATTTACTCAATCAAAGACTAGTGCAAGGATGTCGAAAGTTGTCAAGGTCAGCGTGTCGCAAAAATGATGACGTCACGTTGCTAAGTAGCCTCTTTGTCAAACACTGCGGGCTCAGTCGATTGTTTTCCATTTAAGTTACTTTTTATTTGTGCTTAAGGATTTGATGCCCATTCACTGTTGTGCCATGCAAGGTCGAATAGACGCCATTCAAGCTCTCCTGTTCTTCGACACTGAAGGAAGCATCAAGCGAAACTTAGAAATGGAGAATGAGGTATTCAATTAAAGAAAAATACTTCTTAACTTTGAACTGAACGGTCACAAAAAAGCACATTTTCTGTCATTCAAAAAGCTGTGGATGTTTTACATCTTTATGTTGGTTTCCCAAACTTAGGCCCCGTCCACACTACGCTGGAGAAATTCGAAAACGCAGCCTTATTTCTACGGTTAGGCCTACTGTCCACACTGATCCTTCACCAAAACGGTGCTGTGGAAAACGCCATTCAAACCGGAGGAATTTGAAAACGCCAGTTCGGCGTTTTACTGTGGCCGAAGAACATTTTGAAACCAGAGCTTTTCGAAAGCGATGACGTCGTGATAATCATGTGTGATTTCCCTGCCCGAGTTTTCCTCAAACACAGATCCAAAATGACCGGTGATTGTTGCGTTTTGAAATTTCTCCGACGTAGTGTGAACGGAAAACATTTGATGCGTTTTCGAAGTGAAAACTCCGTTTTCAAATTCCTCCGGCGTAGTGTAGTGTAGTCCAAGAACCGGCAACGGCACTTGCAGCTTATTACAGAGCGCGTGCAGTTTGTTGGCAGGTGCAATTTCGCTGCCTTTTTGGTTCAAATTGGGCACTCACATAGCAACAACAGGGAACTCAAGCAAACCACAACGACGACGGCAATGAGAACGTCGTCAAACAAAAGGTTTAATGAGCACAACAACAGCTGTGCTACTAGGCGTCGTCCTCGGTGTCGCCGTCGTCGTTGCTAATAGGGAGCTTAAGAAAACCACGACGGCGACGGCAACGGCAACGGCAACGTCGCAAAACAAAAGATTTAATGAGCAGAACAACGGCTGTGCACGTGCGTTATAATTCTTGGTACTTTTCTTTGCCCTCCTCTGCAAAACAAGAACGTGAAATGATCGAATTCTGCGTTGTCTGGAGAACGTGAACCACGACGGCTATTTTTTTAAATTTTTATTCCTAATTCATCGATGTGTCCCAGATTTAGTTTCGTGATAGCTTTGACAGTGATAAACAAAGTAGATGACTTTAGAGTACCGCGAGATTCGTAGGTAAAATATAAACTCATTTTTTATCGACGTTGTCCTCGGCGTCGCCGTCGTGGTTTCTTAAGCTCCCTAATAAAGCTCCCTAACTTTTCTGAAAAGCGTGGCCTAATTAGCCGTCAGGGATACTAGCTGTGTAGGTCCCCGACTGTTAACACCACTGTATTACCTGTAAGTTTGGGTTTCAAGTATTGTTTTGCAGATATTGTTTATCCATTGTAGAAAACTCCGCCCAGTCTTCTTCATTTGTCAGTGGCCAACGACTTCCTTGACTGTGGGAGGTGGTAAGTGCGCATGTCTGTATTGCATGCTGCCAACACGTTTGTAGCAAAGTTAACCTAAGGGTAGTTCTGCACATCGATCCGAGTTCTGTTCTGTTGACTTGTCTAATCATTATCTTAAATTTAACAAACATCAAAGTGGCTGTGGCTGGTTCCGCAGTAAACTTTGACAATTTTACTACGACATTTATCATCAATAAGAGTACAGAGGCATAAAAAACTGACGTCAATTTGCTTTTTTTTTACAATAACGAGACCCCATATTGGTCAAATGCCGAGAATAAATGAGGGCAAAAGACGCCATAAACTTGTCGTAAACAAAGATAAGTGAATTTTATTCAAAATGAAGCGAGCATTGTCAATAGCTTTTCTCGCTTTTTGATTAGCTACTTAAAAAAGTCCATAAAATCTCATTGGTTAAAAAGTTGACAGCTGAAAGTTGAACTTGAGAGCTTGCATAAATTAAAATTTTATCCGTCTTTACTCTTATTTGTGTTTAAAAATGAGCCAATTAGCGTGCGAGAAATCAAGCAGTTATTGTAAAAATACTTTAGTTTAAGTTCATGCTCAATGGCAATCGTAAGAACAGTAAAACGTTAATCAAGACATTCGTTGTTAACTGTTGTTACCCTTATTTTATGTTTCTTCCAATTGTCCTTCCATTCTCGTCTGCCTCTCTTATGTCACAACTTCATAACTGTTTCATTTTCTGCAGGGAACGGTTTTGTTCATGTAAATAACTGTCTTTTCTCTGGTTATTTCAGTATTGAGTGATGAAGTCCATGTTCTTGTTTTAGGTTGGCGGAAAACAAGTTTGAATTCAAAGAGAAAGAAACAGATTTACTTGTGCATAAGATCCTGCTTGAAGAAGTGCCTTGGTAAGACAGGGGCCGATTTCTTCCTTCGTTTTAAAGTACTTTCCGAGAAGACGAGTTTTCCGCTTGTCACGAGAAAATGCGTGTTAAAAAGCGAAGGTTGTGTGATGAACGGGAAAAGGTTTAAAGCCAGCGTAGACTGATAATGCAGCGAGCGAAAACTGTTTACGTGAAGGGTGACAAACGAGTGTGCGACATCTTCGTGAGGAAGTCTTTTAATCTTTATAATACAGTCGAGTATCCCCTAACGGCCACCTCTCTTCAACGACTTGATTTTGTCCCGGCAGACAGTTCATACATGTACATTCACTCGTATTTTAACCTGTCTACAATGGCCACCTCTCCACAACGGTAACGGCCACTGAAGTACGTCCCAACTGTCAAAATAACATCTCAACAACGGCCAGTTACTCAACGACTAACAACAGTACATACAAAACCTCATTATTTATTGTTAAAGATCACTCAACTTGATTTGTACTGTGCGTCGCCAGTCTCTGTTTCTGTTTGGTTTTTGTTTTATCAATATAATTTGATGGTGTTACTTATTGCAACCCCGAAAAATACAGGTGTTATATCACACCCGTACCTCTCCATAACGGCCTCCTCTCTACAACAGCCACTTTCCTCTTTCCCCTAGGTGGCCGTTGTGGAGAGGTTCGACTGTATTGTAATTTTGGGTGTGGAGGCTGGTGACAATGTTAATGACGTTTTCTCATTCTTTCCTGTGGTGTTTCAGTGCCAATCGTGTGGAGACCGTCAGATTTCTTCTGCGGAAGGGTGCCTCGGTAAATCCTACATACCCTGGAGGAAATACGTAAGTCCTTAACAATAGTACTCCCGTCTTACAAGTCTTTCTTAGTCTATTTTGTAGCCTGGGAGGGGAGGGACGATAACGTTGACAAAGGGCGGCAAAAATTTAAACAATGATGCGTAGGGCAAGCACGATTGCACCTAATTGGCCAAGATCATCATCGCTGTGATTGGCTGGAACACTCTACGCTTGAGCGCAACACTAAGGTTGTGTTCTTTTGGGATCAACCGTTTCAAGCGCAGACAGTTTCGGTTGAAACGGTTTACGTTTCTCAATAGAACGCTTTTCCAATCGTTTTCAGTTGAAACGCGGTAACTCCTGAGAAAAACACGACCTAAGATCGTGTTCTATACATTGGGATCAACCATTTCTGGTCAACTCGATTGGGTTGGTCAGGTTTTTTCGTGTTCTACCGGGGGAAAAGCCGTTTCGATTGGTTTGGTTGAGCAAATTTTTCAACCGTCCTCAAACCAGGTTGAAACGGTTGAAAAAGCATTTGCGTGATTATGTCGCGTGACTGTAGCTCACGTAAGGACTATTCCCAGGAGTTGCGGCGTTTCATCCGAAAACTGTTGAAAAAGTGTTCTATTGAGAATCGCCAACCGTATCAACCCAAACCGGTTGCGGTTGAAACGGTTGATCCCAATAGAACACGACCTAACCGTGCAAACGCAAAGCAACTCCCTTTCCGCAAAATAGGGGGGAAAAAAG